GGCGGGTGGGAACGCGGTTCGAAGACGCGTCTGCTGTGGTTCCCATGAGGGAAGGGAGAGTGCGTCGGTTCTGCGCAAGCCTACTATCCTATTAACTCACTCACACAGAACAGCATTCCTGTGTACACCATGCTGCGGCGACTACCATCGTTTGCGATGGTCGAACTGTCATTGAAGACTTTTCTAAAAAAAACTAGTAGATAGGCGTACACCGATCAGATACAAGGCACACCCGCCCTGTTTTTTTTTATGTCCAGTGAGTTCGGGATCTCTCGGTGTACGCCTATCTACTAATCTATGGTCCCGATCAACAACCGTCAAGACGTCGAGCCCGATAGCTCAATGGATAGGGCGTCTGCCCCTGACCGGAGAGCCGCGGGTTCGAAACTCGAGGGTGGCGGCAATTTCCGCTGCGGCACTTGAGTAGAGTATATCCAGCCGACGACGCCTAATGAGGCAAAAATGGCCATCCTGGATTCTCTTGTCTTACGGTAAAATGTCCTAAAAAACTACTTGCTTTTCTCTCCCGTAACAGCCGCTGCTGACCTACCTGACCTGGAACCCGGGCCATCGACCGAAGAACTGTCCGACTGCAGCCAGATTGCCCGCCTGATGCGCGATCTGGATCAGGCCGAACACACCACCTCTAAGAAGACTGCCGAACGTGAGTGGTTCAAGCGTACCGCCGCTGAAGCGGACATCATCTTGGATTCGGACCTTGAATCTGCACCAGATAGGTAAGTAATTTACCCCCAGGCACCCTCTCGAGCTCCCTTTCAACCCAGTGTTTTCAGGTAGATTGGTAGATTGCCTGTGTTGCAGTGGGTTGTATGGGTTAAATTAAGCCCGCAATATAGGGTCCCGGTGGAGCCCCGTAGCTCGGGTGGTTAGTGCGTTGGCTGAACTAAAGTCTGGCCCTTGTTGTCGTAGGTTGGAATGTCAGCGAGGCCGTCTAGTTTTTCACAGTTGAGTCAAAGAAACTGTGATTGCAAAAAGCGACGAGTGAGTCGCTTAAATGATCGGTGAGTGCCCATTCGACCATGCGAGCATTCACTAACTCAATCGGCAAGACCCTGAGCCATGTGTCTTGATGGCTCGAGAGTTGGACTTCTAGTCAACAGGTCGGGAGTTCGAGCCTCGTGTGGCGCGCAACACCTTGTGTTGGGTATGGTTGTCTGATGACAACTAATAAGCCGGAAATAGCCACTTCATTCCCTCCCCCGCCTTTCGGTAGTGCTCATCTGCGGCTGCCGGCGGGGCTAGAGAGTAAGTCCTATAACTTTGTACTTACTTTATACTTGTTACGACTGCGATCATGCTTGATCTAGCCGGCCTTAATGATGTCACTAACGGTACCTCTCCATGCGTGACGATTGGCGGCAGCGGATCTGGAGAGCTCCAACTCTACTCCAGCGACGGAGACCGAAGATTGAAGGTCCAAGAACTGCTTCCATGTCATGACGGACGGTGTCGAGCCAAGTCTTCAGTTGCCCTCCTCTTGGACGCTTCC